TTCTACTTTTTTAGATTTAGTGTAGAGAAATGGCTGCTTGTATGATGATTTCTGCGCCGTTCTTTCACCCCCCTTTGATAAGACGTGGGGTACGTTGACACACACCTCGGTGTCAGACATATAACCAACCTCCGTATTCGTTTTTAGCTTCCACTCGTAGTTGGAGGTTTTGGGGAAAGCTAACCCGATGTTCGTTTGCTTCACTCCATCGGATCTCTATCGTGTGAGCTCCACACGTTCACTCTATACAGTGATGTTTACATTCTGTGATGCGCGAGCTGATGACGTCACGTCAAGACGAGTTCACTTTTTTTCTCTCAACTTTGTGTGGAAAAATGCGGGGATTATGCGGCCTTTTGATAAATATGCGGCCTTTTAAAAATCTGCGCCAGTTTGCTGATTATGCGGTAAATTCTGCAATCGCAGAATCGCGTTTTTCTGGAGGGTCTAGAAGATGATCGCCTTACGTCTTGTGTGCTTGTCTTTTTTGTTGACAAAATATAGCGACAGCAGGAAACAAAGTCGCTGAGGCCGGGCCTTTTTGATGTTGTATGACACGTTAAAAAAAGGAATTGCTGAGATCAAAAGCTCTGTTTCATAGTATTGTAGTTTAATCACAAAAAACTCGGTGATCAGACATACACATTGTTATAATAATCAAAGCAATCGTAAATCTTGCGGTCAATAAAAAAGTACAACGGCCCTGTGTCACCCTCTCTTCCACACACACACCTCACGCAAGTGAACAGGATTATAATGAGTGCCGCCCATATCCATGTGACCCAAGCCAGTACTCAAAAAAATATCTTATATTAAAACATAAAGGATTACTAAACACGTTTCATGGCTCCTACAATGTATAAAAGACGTACAAGAGTGCATTTTGCATGATAGGTCCCCCTTTAGGGTCTTGGCATTCATGTTTATCTTCCTATCGCTCTAAAAACATTAGAAATGTTCCAAATGTTTAATGACGTCTTATTATTTATGACGTGCTTACTATTTTGTTACAAACGGCGAGCATCCTGTTGAATTGTTCAATGTTTTTCTGCTTCATTTCTCCTCCTCAGATACCTGAGTGTCTGCAGGACAGTTACGCAGTGCCAGAGCAGACGTACTACCTATATGTGGTCGGGATGGTGCTCACCACCCCCCTCCCTGATGAACTCAACTTTCGCAGAAGGAGGCTGTACCCACCGGAGGACACCACCAGGTGCTTCGGCATCCTGACTGCCAAACCCATACCTCGAGTACGTCACCTCCCATTATTCTCTCACATCAGACTCTTAAGGAAAGAAAGAGAGAAATGGCTGTCATTGGTTGTAGATGGTAGCTGATGCTTCTTTTCTGTCCAGATCCCCCATTTCCCGGTGTACACCCGCTCGGGTGAGGTGACCATCTCCATCGAGCTGCAGAAGTCCGGCTTCACGCTGACCACCGCCCAGCTGGACCTCATCACCCGCCTGCACCAGTACATCTTCTCCCACATCCTCCGTCTGGAGAAACCTGCACTGGAGTTCAAGCCCACGCTGGCTGACTCGGCCTACTGCGTTCTACCTTTGAATGTTGGTCAGTACAATCACTGTCAAACTTATTGCATTAACCTCCCCTAGGAAGTGGTACTCCAACTTCATACTATGTCATACTATGACGTACTTAAGCCCAATAAGACGTGTTTCCATTAACTTGCATTGGAAACTAGATGTCTGGTAATTAGTGTATTGTATATATGTGTTTTTTTACTACTACTACTTGAATCAACTACTCATGGTTAAACATGGTGACGCAGAGATCAGGTAACAGACGTGACAGCGGCACAGCAACACCAAACACGGAGCAGTCTGCTTTATCCACCTGTTGGTGGATAAAGCAGACTGCTCCGTGTTTGGTGTTGCTGTGCCGCTGTCACGTCTGTTACCTGATCTCTGCGTCACCATGTTTAACCATGAGTAGTTGATTNTCAGAGGTTAAGGCCTGACAGTTGCAAGGCAAGAGAAGCAGTTGAGCAGAATATATTTATAGTGCGGCATTTCTCAGGATCAGATTGCTTTCAAACTGTGCCAGTCTCACCCTGACACCCACACCCACCTGTTGTGGGAGATTTGTGCAGTGAAGCAGCCGCACAAATTCACATCTCCATTTCTCATTTACTAAACTCTCTAACAGAGTTAACACCCAGAAGTTTCTACCCACATGGAAACATACACACAGTTGGAATCACTTCTTACTTATCTTAGGTGATCATGGTAAGGTTTAGACTGTATACACCATTAAAAGAGTTTACCTTATTGTGTTTCATCTTCTACATTAGTTGTTTTTATATCAGGACACCTCAGGAGAAGAAAAGTAAATGAGTAAATGTATTCAAAAACTGCTCTAAAGTAGATATCTGGGGTACTTGTACATCACATTAATATTAACACTTAATGCCTTGTACGTTATACTCCCATTCCGCATTTCATTTTGTTCTTTTCACTCATTTCTAGATTTGGTTGACACTTGTCGTTGCTCATTACTTTTCAGATTAAGACCCATTATCTTAATAGATTGGATTACATTAACATCTTTGCCAAAGTTAGCAACAGTTTAGCATACCTTGCATACTGATTTAGAGATAGGGTCAAACTGTTGACTGCAGCTATTATTTAAGTGTTTTGATAATTGCATTTGTAATGGTTACCTGCCAGCCAATTAGGCACAAACAACATGTCCAAATCCGGCAATTTTATTTATATAGCTCATTATCACAAATGTCACTCAAGTTGCATTACAATCTGTTATAAGACTAGAGCCTTGATTTAAATAAAGAAAAACTCAACAAAAAATGTGGGAGAAGAATGGAAGAAAACTGAGAAAGAGAGACTGAGAAAGAGGATTTCTCAACAGGTAGAAAAGCATTCAGTAGATGTTGTGTGTAGAGACCAACATAATACAAGTACAGTATGGATGACAAAGACTAAAGAAAGGCACAGACAAACGTAGCGTTCAAGAGTCAGTGGTTTACAGGGTTATCGTATTATTGGCTTTAAAGATTTTGCAAGACTGAGACCCCCAACCTGTTGGAAAGATCATAGTAACAGGGACAAGGCCTGAAAATATACCAAAAGAAACAAGAATGAATAAACTTGGATTCATTAAGTTTGGACACTGATGTCACAATATGAAAAGGTTAAAGATTAAGGGTTAGTTTGGTTACAGTTTCAAAAAGAAAATAGGAGTGTGTTTATAGTTACTGATTAATACGAGAAAAAGGAAGTGTACATCGTGGGCTTTTAATTTGATCTGTCTGTTCTGTTTTTTGAAAGACTCTGTCATCTGTTGAGTTGTTTAACTGACAACTCATAAATGACTGGAGAAGTCCCGAGTCCATATTAGGTTATGATAAATAAAGAGTGGATTATCAGGGCGTGCACTGAACTAGTGGATTGGGCGTGTACAGAGATATAGCACATAAACACATGAGGTATCCTCTGATAATGACTGTTAAGGGTCCTCGCTAACAGTTCTTGAAATTACCTTTAATGACCCTGATGACTTACTTTAAAATAACAAAGATTAATAAAGATTTTCTTTTGGTCAGAGAAATGAAGCTAGTAAAAAATTCTTAAGCCCCAAACATTATGAAATTATACATCAACCATGTTTGAAACTTTTTCCACACTAGCTAACCTGTTTATTTCTTCATACTCTTTTGGGGGATTTTGTTCACTATTATTAATGCTTTAACAAGTTGACATCTTATATTAATTAAAATGCATATTACTACTACTAGCACTACTACAGACATATCAAACACTAAGTGCATTAATGCCCTCAACCTTACTCATACGCACACTGACAGACCTTCTCAACCACAAACTGTGATATTTAAATTATCTGTGTTGCAGGCTCGGTGGAGGTTTCTCGCAGAAGTCCCGTGGCCTCCTGGCTCTGTGCCATGCTCTACTGCTTTGGAAGTTACATCCTGGCAGACATCTTGCTTGGAAGCAGCCCCATCGACTATTTCCAACACAACAGCCACATCCTGCTGGCCTCAGCTGTCTGGTGAGAAATCCTCGGAACAACGTGACCTTTGACAGGGGAAGAGCTTTCAGCTTTTTCCTTTTAAGACTGTATTCCCTACACTGCTTATAAGTGATTCCCAGTCCAAATTCTGAATTCATTTTCCTGCGTATTACAGGGAAAGTAACTTAGTGACGTCTTTCATTCCAAGAAACTAAGAAACAATGCCCCAGTCACTCTGGATAATCCACTGACCGGAATAACAGCAGTTTCCAACACCTTCTTGGTGCCACACATAAGACAATGATATGCATAACTTCTACATTCAAAAACAGGAAAATAAAATACAACAAAAAGGAATTAAAAATATGTGACATTTAAGAAGTGGATTTTCTTAAAACCCTGGTAAACTAAACGTATCTCTATTCCCAGAAACTACTTGTGCTAAATCGAAAAGTAGTTTTTGTAAGTGATTTGGATACTGTTAACATTGAAAGTGGACCTATCATGCTATATTTGAATAATATAGTGTAGGACCATACCTATATAAGGCATATTTATACTTTTTATTTTTCAAAATACCAAACAGATCATGCATTTTAGCCATTCCTCATTTCGCTCAATTTAACACTGTCTTTGCATGGGCTGATTCTGTGAGAACAGCACCATCTACAGGCCTGGCATATGTACTACAGCGTCTCCAGCGCTTTCGAACGGCAATGTCCGTGGCTGTCTCCTCCTGATTGGTGGAGTTGGCCCAATAGCCGTAGCGCCAAACTGGTACTACTTCGTTCGGGCACCACCATCCGCACTACCCCGCACCACTTGCGGCCGACGTTTTAGATGCTCAGCCTGCTGAAGGAAAGTCCCGCTGTTGTGGGTCAACTGCCCGTCTTTCGGTGCGTAAATATCCTTCTTCCAAGTCCACCCGTCATTTTCTGCTCCCCATTGGACTCTTGTACCAACCTCCTTGTTTTCTGTAATCTCCTCCAGACATTAAGTCGGAGACTTACCAATCCAAAAACCTTAAATTTCCACTGGATAGTACGTTTACGTGGAAACATGAAGAAAAAATGTACTCATACACAGGGGCTACAAGGGTCCTCCATGAGGGTGGTTCAAGGTCTTTTGGGTTGGGAGAATAAGAGGTATTTTCTTTTTTTTTGGGGTTTAGAGAAATTTTTCTCCCCCGACGTTGCCCAGACTAATGTCTCCGACTAGGCTAACTTGTAAAATACCTGCA